TCGGAGATCGCGAAGGAATTGGAGAAGGCGGCTGCGAGGGAAAAGTTGGAATCGACTCGAGAAACGTCGGGCAACTCGAACACTTCCGGTTCCAGTTCATCCGGTAGCAGCTCGTTGCCCCATTCTTTCAGCGTGGAAGAGATTCAAAAGGTGAGGACGCAATTGAAGTCTTCGAAAAGTCATCCGAACGACTTTCTGCTCCAACAAACGCAGCAATCCCTGGCCGAGGATGGTGACAATAGCTCGAGTGGAGTGAGCTCCGATCAAGACGTGCCGGTAGGTCCACCGACGGGTTTCGACGACACGACAGCGAGAAATCTTGCCAACGAAGCTGCCCAGCATCCGACCACGGTGCTCTCCAGTGTGGCCAGTGTCGAAAAGGAGGCCAATCCGAAAAGAACGGGCTACGGTGGCAGCGGATTATTGACGCGGCACGCAGTCAGCTTGGCCCAATTACCACCACCGATCGAGGCGGATGCCGAGGAGCAGAGCAACGATCTGTTCGTACCACCGCCACCGGAGTTCAATGCGGGACCGTCTGCCGGGAATGGGGACGAATTGGTATTTGCACCGCCACCTCAATTCTGCGACAACAAACAACAAGCGCAACAACAACAACAACAACAACCGCAACCGCAACAGCAACAGAATCGCGTTAAGATCATCGGGGCGATACCGAAAGTTACCAACAATCAAGTAAAAGCTTCCGGTGGACGATTGCATAATCAGTGAGGAAGAATAGTCGCGAACGATCGCCGATGAACGGACGCGTTCGGGTCGCGTGATCACGTTGTTCGATCACGATCTGTCAGAGTCAATTTAATCTTTCCGTAATTAACCTTTTTCTCCATCCGAGATAATTGTGCACACAGCGCCATGTATCCTGAATATCATCTGTTCCGTCATTCGGCCGAACGATTAAACGAAAACCTATAACGTAATAATGCGATTATTTGCAATACATTTTTTCACCGATATAATATTTCCCATGTGGGGAAGGGGCAGTTTTTTAAGAAAAAACAAACGCGCGCGTCGTCCCTATCGCAACTATCCATACTTCGATCGAGCGCCGTTTGGTGGTGCTCCGGTCAAGGGTCTGTGGTAGTCAAGTGAACGATGTATTCAGTGAATTTTTACCGTAAAACTTAGAATATGAATCGTACGAACCGCAGATACGTTAGATTTAAAAAGTCGTGCGTGCAATGCTTTCTACTTGCGAAACGATATAGAACCACATTCGTAAATGTCAAAATACTATAAATGTCTCGTGGAATGGCCTAAGAGGTGAACGAGAGAGAAAAAGATCTATATACCATACCGTAGTTCGTAATTAGAGAGAAAAAAGAAAGTATGCGAGCAACAGAGAGAGAGAGAGAGAGAGAGAGAGGCAGAGACATAGAAATAAAAAAACAAAAAAGTAAGAATAGTTCTATGAGATGCGTGTGCATGTATGCGAATGTAGTGCGCGTGTGTATGTAAGAAACGTAGAGAATGAATGTATAGCGTATATCGGTTTGTTTTTCATATTTCTAACGAAGTACGACGCGTGTTTAATACTTTTACATGTAACGATCTTTATCCTTAAACGCCATCAACTTCTCTCATTCCATCGCATAAAGAAACAAAATAAAAAAAAAAGGCATTTTTTCGAAAAACAATGCATCGAAATATCAAATCGTGTTAAGACATGAATCGGTGCTGCTAATCGAAATTCATTTTTTTTTTTTTTTTTTTTTTTTTT